CTGATTTTTTTCAGCCTTACTACAAATAACATCTAACTATCATTCCTAACATTTTTTAATAAAAAATAGTCATGTGAAAATTTGTAAATTCTATATGTTTAACAGCAATATCCATCTGAGACATAAAAATAACACATAACAAATATAACACAGCACAAAAACCTCAACCTTAATTTTTCGAGATCCTGCAATTTCTGTCACTGTTGAATCTGGAGACTTTGGGGATCCAAGGTTGTTCATTGCAGTTTTCAGGTATTCCACAACTTGCATTGCAACTTTGGCTGTTGATAAAAGTAATCTTTTATTCATGTTGATATCTCCAATCTAATTAACTATATAATCTTAGGTTATGGAAAGAACCCGAATATCTCCTATACAAATAATTCATGAGCAGTGTATCTAAAATCTTATTTATAATAATGAAGACATTAACAAAGCAAAAAGTTTTTAAAAGTTGTACTTCTAATGTAATTAAACTTTCATAAAAGAATGTATTCAGAGGGTCTTCATTCCACTCATTATCCATGAACAAATCAAAATCATTAGATATATCTATACTGAAAAAGGTAGGATAACTAGGAATAATTCTTACCAATAATTGTTGGCTTGCGGTTGTCTGTCATGCTCTTCTCAAGAATGCATTCCTGAGCTTGTGCTAGTGAAACATTGTACAAAAAGGTCAACAACGTTGGACTTAGGTCTGACTCCCGTGGTTGTGGATAAGTGTCACGCAGATGCTGCAAATTGTCACACAAAAGTACTGATTATAAATACAGGTAATGTAATATCTCCAACTGCAACTATAGCTGGGAACCTAGTAAATATCATCATGCCTGTACAGCCAACAACAAAAGCAATGTCGCCTTGCCAGACCTGGTTTGGAAAGATCATGCCCTTCTTGCCCTCAAAGGTGGCTCACGTTTAAACAACCTTGACAAAGTTATGAAAGGGGGGAAGAGGTTGGGGTGATCTGGATTCACCAGGCAAAGCAAGGAGCGAGTGTCCTGCTATGTTTCAGTCCCATCCTATCAAGGCTAGTGTCCACACGACCCCCCCTCACTCACAGACAAACTGTGTGTAATATTTGTGGGCGTGAATAATGTATAATCTCAAATAGCACCTCTTGAGCTACCAAACCTTATAAAATGGCTTTGGCCACAAAATTTCAAGGGTAATGGGGTATAAACGTTTAGGTATCGATTCCCTTTTCCTTTTATTTTGTTTGGGTGCCTCCTTCGAATCACAACCTTCAGTCACATTCATGAATCACGAAGCCCAGTTTGGTTGTGGTCAGCTGGTGTGTGATGGGCCACTTGGCTCCACTCCTCGCAATCATATACTTATAGAAAGTATTTATTTTTATATCAGTTTAAAGTTTGAGATACAAATTAACGTAAAGTGTATTGTCAGTCAACCTAATTTACTATGCCGTTTCCAAAACAGAAATGAAATGCAGTGAATGTGTGCTGCAGTGCATTAAAATAATGAGGTGGGGTATATAGGATGTAGGTATCAAATTATTGGGTGACAGTCTTTAGACCCAGGCATATTTCCCAGCAGACCCCTTTCCTGGCTCACATTTGCTCACTCACCCCTCAGAGGGCCTAGTCTAGCTAGACAGGGTTAAGGGAATATTCCCTTATCCTTGACTCTACCAATTCTTATGCCTTTATTTGACATTTCAGCAGTTGGTGTCCAACACTTTGTCAGTGTTCTCCCTCCGAACTATTCAAGAAACCTATTTCTTTTGATATCTCCTGTTCAATCTATCTTTTACATATTTATTTCGTTATTTTTGGTAATTAAATAATTGTAAACATTTGGAAAATATAGTGGCATATGAAATATTGCCATGAGTATTATTCTATTATCCAAATAACATCAAGTTTACCATTATCTAAACAGCGGATCCAGGTGATATAACACGGAAGAGAGAGAGAGAGAGAGAGAGTAGCTGTTTCAGATAATGTAAAGCCATATATTAATATACAGCTCTGGGATGATGCAAATGAAGGCTATTTCCATCTGACAAATATTAATATGAATAGCTAGTTCCAACAATACTTGCGGATTTTTTTATATCGAAAATATGATATGGAATTAAAATAAAACAATATGATAAGATTTCGCGATAATTATTTTTTAAATAATATACAGTAACTTATTTCTTGAGGGGACAGTCCCAGAAAATGCCTACCTTGCTCTACTCCTTTCATCATAATAAAATATTGGGTGGAGATAACTCATGGATTGTTTTGGCATAATATAGAGTAAATAACTGAGCTTCATTACATACATAATTTTAACCTCATCCCCCCATAAGGGGGTGGCATGCCCAAAATTTTGAAAAAAAAATAAAAATAAAATAAAAAAATCTTTGTCTTTGGTCACATTTTTGCCTGATTTCTCCCTAAAATATAATTGTGTTAGATCTATCTTACAATGAAGACACTGTGTAGATAATGAAGGCTGTGTAGAAAGCCTTTTTTTTTTTTTTTTTTTTTTTTTTTTTTTTTTTTTTTTTTGAGGGGGGACTGGTTGACATAGAGTACTCTTTATGGTCACTTTTTTCTGCTTTACGCAATTACATTTTTTTGATATATTCTAAAATTCAAAAATCTGCTATCTACAAGGCCTCCGGATTCTAATGCTCTAGCAAAAGTAACAAACTGTGTTTGAATCGCATGAATATTATAACCCCTGAGATGTATTGAAGGTTGTGTAAAAGAATGTTTGATGCTTGCCAAACTTCATTATCTCTAGTGCTTTTCGCTAAATCTTATAAAGTTATATAAAAAAAGCTTATTTAGTGTACTTTGTAATGCAACGACTACCAAATCAATCAGAATTATCATTTTCAACGGGAACAATATTCTATAATGGTCTCATTGTTTTGTTTTTCTTTTACGGATATAAAAGTACATGTTACTGTCTGAAAAGTTAAATAAATGCATTAATTCATAAAATTTTTCTATTCTTTTTCTTTTTTTTTTTTTCTTTTTAAGAAATGGAGAGCTGTGGATGGAAGTATCAGTAAAAATCATCCAAGGTATAAAGTCCTAGCATGAATATAACATGACGGTTCAATTTTGAGAATTTTAAACCATATGTAGGATGTACATGGAATTCAAGACTTACCGAAGTAGTTGAATTTTTTCCATGCTCCACACAGGAGGGGGGCAGGGGAGATGGTCACTGGGTGTTTATAATTTTGAGGAGGATCATATATATGTAAACACACGCACATAAGATTAACCATTTAAATCATCCTCATTTAGTAAGCCAACATTGACTTTTATATGTAAGGGAATAAAATGGATTAGTTATCCCTATCAAACCATTTCCTTTAACAATTTTCAAAACAAATAGTTTTCAACAAGAAACGAGTATAGAGTTGGTGTTTAGTCATCCGCACCCATATCTTCCGTAAGATGTGCATAAAATCATCAAGACGCCTAAGCGTGGTTGGATATCTTCATATCTATGATACCTAAGATCTACAGTAAAGGCTACATGTAATAATTTTTATCCAAAATGAAACAAAAGGATGCGATAGCCGTTTCAAATCTAGATGAAGACTGCACATACAAGTCTAATGGAATCATTTTAATCATTATTTATAAAGCTATTTTCAAACACTAGTGTTTCGTACTTCGTATACATACTGATCCCTTCGTAGGCTACTCCATATTACCAGGGAGTCTTGATGGAAGGCATATTTCAAGTGTAAAAGTATGCAAAACTTACTTTTTTTTAAATAGATTTCACAAAATATTTCATCATAAATCACTAATTCTTTTCTGATGTTGGAATAAAAGCTTTCTTTGAACATTCAAGAGCTCATATCTATGCGCAATGTCATTATCAAATGCCGTATGTGTTGGCAGGGCTCATGTGTGCCGCCCAAGAACTAATCATAGCTGGGCTTTACTAGTCATTTGGTAGATCCTCAATCTTGTACCTATATAATACAATAGCTAACTCAATTTGACCGCAAAATTTTCACACACCCCTGCCTCCAGGGATGGTCCCCTTAAAGCAGGTCTCAAATATATCCATCAAATTAACAACAAAATGGAAAATTAAGCGCTCCCTCCCTCCCTCCCTCCCTGGAAACAAACCCTCCCTCCTCCCTCCCTCCCTCCTGCGCTCTCCATCCCTCCCTCCCCTCCTCCTCCCTCCCTCCCTCCCTCCTGGGAACCTGAAAACATCATGATCACTCCGAACCAGGTCTGGCATGGTAACATTGCTTTAGTTGGTGGCTTTACAATTCTACCTTATGTTAGACAGTTAGACAGTGAATAACATTATAATAATTACCTGAAATGCCCAAGCTGCACACTGGAAATGTGTACAACTTATTTTCATCCCATCTGGTGTATTTCTGGCATCCATGGCTCCTAGTTCGGTATGCAGAGCCCCAATATTATAAAGGATGCAGGCCATTTCATACTTAATGTCTGTGACATTATACACCATACTAGAATAGATGTCATACCTGCAGAAACAAAAGAAAGATCTTAAACTTATAAAAGAAGAAAAGAATAGAGATCTTAAACTAATGCTTTCATTTGAAAAAGTTTCAAAAATTACCCTTTTCATCAAGAATTCAATTGGATAAATAAAAGAAGCCAACAATGAACAGTATAATAATAGTACTTAACATAACAACAATAATAATAAATATTATGTTGAGGTAAGAACAAGAGCAAGATATTTTGTTACGCCCATTATTAACAAATATCAATATCACTGTCCCATTTCACAAATATTTGTACTAGATATTATTACTTCTATACTTCTCAACATTATGATACTAGGCTATAATTACAACAACTATCATTAATTTTGCTACTGATACTAATACTACTTTTATCCCTAATATGAACATTCCTGCCATTCTTTTGACATTTTTATTATAAATTTTCCTTGTCATCTAAATCAAATGTAACTTTATTAATAATAACATTATCATCATTAAATAATGGCATCCAAAACCACCAGTAATCATATCAAGATTCATAACAGCATGAAAATATTACGTGCAAATATGCAAAAGCAGTAATAAAAAATCACAGAAAGAAAAAAAGAAAAAGAAAAAAAAAACGGGGTTCGGAATAAAACGTTCCTTTTCTCACAATGCACTTCTGGGTCTTCTCCATGACCTCAATTTCTACTGGTGCGAAACAAGTTCTACATACAAGGAGATACTAAAGAGACATGTTTTTTAAACTTCATAGATAAGATTATTTAATTTTTATACTTTATAAGCTAGCATACCTGTACATAGAAATACAATTGCTAAAGATCTGTATATCTGATATTAGTGAATAGAAAATCAAACTTTCAATGCAAGATTTGTGTATCCAAAATAATTGAAAAGCTTATCATAATCTACTCTATTCACTAATTATTCATATATAGCATTCATGTCATTATTAATGTATTAATTTATCCTCAAACACACATATAAACTCCTCATACCTAATAAAAATTAATATCACAGTAGAAATAGATTCCATAAATATCAGAAGGAATAACTATAAATTCACTTCCTTGAATATAAATATACATTTACTAGCTTGATTACTTGTTCAATTGACCACAAAGTTAGCCAGGACTGTGGTTGCTAGATAAGCATCTTTATCAAGTTAGGCCTAAACATGACTAGGGTCTTCAAAAGTAGCTAGCACCCGGTGAAAATTTGCCATGTGTCAGCCTTTCAATCGCCAGGTACTTTTAGCAGGACAATAAAGAAAAAATTTATTACTTTTACGTACCATTCAAAAACATTCAGATGCGCAAAAAATGCATTGCCCAGCACAGGGTAGCCCCCTACTTGGGCCTAGGTAGCCTGCTACTTTGAAAACTTATGAACACCCTGCATGACTAGTCTAATTCTTGCTCCTAAATAAAGTACATTATCATTAAGCAAACCTATGCTTCAGAGAGTAATACAATGGAGAAATGTGCAAACTCTAACTCATCAGTACCAAACAAACTCACCAATTAAATGTTACAGCAATGCTCGAGTCCTCATTAAGTGGAAATCTGGAGAGGAGATAGTGCAGCTGACAGTAGTATTTCTTGAGGGTGGAGCACCCTGTGAAGTCCCTTGAAGCATGGATGGCACTGGCTCGCAGGCCCTCCAGCTCATGGATCTCTGCACTATAACTGTCTGGGTCTTCATGATAATGGTCACGAATGTACTGGGAAAAGAAACCAAGAAAAGAATAAGATTTTCTGATGACCTGAAGGCCATCTACAAAGCGAATTCATGTAACAAATGCATAAATTTTGAAAGAAAATGGGTAATTCTATAAAAGACTGGGCCAGACTTTTCAACTTGTGAAACTATTATCATTCAACCCATTTTATTACTTGCCAGGTTATGAAATATAATCAATTTTATTGGCTACATATCCCAAACACAATGAAAATTCTCATTCTAAGACTTTATTCCAGAACTTTAAGTGTTCAAGTCCCCTAACCAAATACTGACCGTGTGCATTTATTCCTGCCATAATGAGCCAATGCATGGTCAGCCAACTTTAAGTTGTGCTCCTAAGCAATTATTTGCTTTTCTGGGTCTGGCCATGACACTTCAGGAGCTACAGCTCCACAAATATAGGGGTAAAGCCTTTTTTTTGTATCAAATACTGAAAAATCATGTATGTTGCCACCAAACAAACACATAGCAAGGTAAATATATGCTCCCAAAGATTACGATTTTATACATTTGAAATAGTACTATGGTCATCAGAATGGCACCCTTATAGAATAGTGCATGTCAGGATGTTTTGCTAATGAGTTAATAAAATAAATATGATACTTCATAGACTTCATACATGTGCCATATGATACAAACTTCCTTTCTGTTTCTTTTAGACATTTGACATCGTCAACAATGTTCTGTGAAAATTAATGATACAAAGACACCAGATGATACACATTTTTCTGTAATAATTATGTCCATACATATGGAGAGGGAAATTAATGTCTTTGGATCTCTCTCTCTATTTCCCCCTCTATACCCTTTTTTCCTCCTCTCTCTGATACTCACCCCCTCTTTCTTCTCTCTCCCTCTCTCTCCTCTTTCCATTTCTCTCACCTGCTCTCCTCTCTCACTTTTTTCACTTAACTATAGTAGCTATATTTAATCCAAACTCACAAAACACTTGCTGGGATCTATTACAGTATTCACAAAAGGTCCATGGCTGTTCTTTACAATTCTGTCTATGATTCGAACTGTTGCCACAGCTCAAAGTTAATTCTAATAACAGAACAAGCATTTACTTCATTAGACTCTCTATAATGGTAAATGACTGCAGTAAAAGGTTAAAACTACATACAGGAATAAATCTTAATTTTCTAATGACAATAGTATTACATATTTTACATATCTAACTAAGATTTAGGCAGCCATAGGTTTGTTAACATTACATCAGCTGTGCAGGTGCACCATATGTATTTTTGAATAGAAAATTTCTGTAAATATCC